GTTTTCGTCGTTACTTACAGCGTCGCTAACACTTGCGCTATCTCCTACGTTATTACTAGCCGGGGAACTTTTTCTTGTGGATGGACCGATGACGTACACTGCTTTAGTGGTTTTATCATAGCCGTAGCATTTTCCGTTGGCGAAAAGTTTCGTGTGTTGAAGATTGAACGGAACATGCAGTCCTTTGCCATATTCGTACAGAGCCTTTCTCGTATCACGCGTAGTAGCACAAAAGTCCTCACTCATAGAAACATTGCAGCCTTTTAGTAAGAAGCGTTTATCAAAAACGGTTTCTTTTGTTTTGTAGGCCTGAAAATTTTACGATAAGAGGGCGGTTCCGGCCACTAGAGAATTTGCCAATTCTATGCGCACGGGCTATACTATCGGACGATATCGTCAGCTGAAGCTTGCTAGCGAAAAGTTTAAGAACTTTCATTTCAGATTGTTCGGCAGTCTCTGAAGCGACATCTTCAATCCCAAAGAACACAACGTTGTCCCTTCGGGAGCGGTCCTCGAGATCGTCAAGACGGGTTCGAAGCGAGTTCGTTTCAGTTTTCCACGCGCTCCATTGCAGCACGTGTCGCATTAAGGTCTTCCCTCACGCTGTCGAAACAAGCTAACTGGCTTTCCACAGAACCCAGACGCTTGCCAATGTCGGCGATTTGGCTCGTAGCTGCTTTCTGTTGCTCTTTTAACTCGGATATGTCATTGGACATGGCTGTTTGGGATGCCTCTATTCTAATAGACTGCACGGACAAGTCCTTCAGCATTTTGGCAATACACAGGCAATGTTTCATGTTTCTTTTTCTGTATTCTTCACTGTACATTCGATAGGTTATGAATCAAGACCAACTAGCCCACCTTTCTGTTCTGTAGTCTCCATGTTGTACTTGATGCAGACTGCACAGTCCCTTATGTTTATAAGGCATCTTTGGACATTTTAGACTTACAAAAGCATTTAGTTCATCAGAACTCCCACATGCTGTCAATCTGTGGAACAGTGTTCTTGATGACACTGTTTCACTTGTGACTTGGTAGCGTTCTGGTCAGACGCGACTGCTATATTATCTTGATAATTTTTTATTGCCAACTTGCTAACTTTGTACTAGTGTTTGTAGCTTTTCTACAGCTGTTGCCAGTGGTTTATTTTTAAGCACACATTTTATCTTTAATATAAATGAATATTACCTTTAATGCAGTTTCATAATTTCCAATTTCCTTTAGGTAGCTTGTGATGCTGCACTCGTTGGTTAAGAGGTTGAGAGAAAGGATGGGTTAATGTTGATTAGGAAAAAAGGTGTTTGCATGGAAATGCATAAGCACTCATATACTCACTAAACAAGAAAACTTTCCAATCGAATGTCTGTCGGTTCCTCTGTCACGTTAGAGGATCATCACCATCAAGAAACAAAACAATTTTTTTTTTGGTGAAGTGGAGTTTCAACCGCCACTGTCGGAAGGTGAGTGTCACTGGGCCACACACCCATGCTTGCAGAGTAAGAATATATCTGAATCATACAAATACGTTGTACCCGCAATAATAATAAAAAAAAACAGGCGATAAGCAGAACATTTGCTATGGATGCTTCGTTGAAATGTTTTGTGTTGGTGGAATGAAATCCCGCTGTAGTACTACGTTTATTGTCCTGGTGTGTGACTGATGGCGGCACTGCAAACTATGCTTGTATGATGTCAGTTTGAGGATTCACGCACTTATGAGGAGTGGCGCCGTATAAAAATCACCGTCGTGGTGAAATTCGAAAAAGCAGTTGAATTGGTTATTTTGTGTGTGGTGACTACCGACGGTTTTCAAACAGCCGTGGGTGTCCGCTTTTAATGTTCATTTTAAAAGCCCAGCGCTTTGTTTTTTAAATCTGTGGCTGCTTGTTTCCGTGGTGAGTGCTGCGCAATGGTGGAGTACTGCTCTGTGCCTCTACATGATCACCCACCCTATAAAAGGGTGTTAGCTTTCACAACTACCTTAAGGACAAAAAGCTGAAGAAGAAGTGAATAGTCAAACTGTGAGAGGGAAAGCACCCCGCACCTTGATCGACCGTGTGCAACAAGCACTTCGCTTACAGTGACTTTTGCTATACTCTCCCTACGCTCCACTTTTCGGTAAGCTCTCAACCGTGTTTCAATGCCTCGTCAGTACTTTAGCCATTCATTGCATGCAGACTACACACAGAGGCTACTTACACAAGGTGAGATGCCGTCCCAAAACCTACCGCAGGAGCCGACGACATGGCCTCTGAATCGCCTCAGGTAAGTGCGCCTCGTGAGCACAGCGGAGCGGTGCAGGACATCTGAGACTACAGCTTGATTTGGTTGGTGTACATGCTTACAAATATACGTAGTTTACTGATCAAGACAAGTGCACCTAGGGCAGTGCTTATCATAAATTCATAGGCGAAACTTGCTGTCGCTGTTTATTTATTTATTTATTTTATTTATTTGAGCATACTGTTAACCCACATTTGTGGGTCATTACAGGGAGGGAGTACATAAAAGTAATAATTGGTATATAAAAACACTCAAGTAATGTTAACTGTCAACATTGGCATGACAAAACGAAAGCAAAACATCAACACATCATCCAACGATTTTTAGGTAACATATAGTTGTCAAGCAAATATTCAAAAGCCCTTGCATGCGTGCACTCAGCAATATGTGCAGGTAGCGCATTCCAGTTTTCGATAACATTGGGGAAAAACGAATACCGAAAGACGTTTGTGCGGGTGACATATGTTCTAATGGCTGCACTATGGTTTATTCTTCTGCTAATTCTACCAGGTTCCCGTATGTACATACTTTTATCAATATTTATTTGACCCTGGAGAATCTGAAATAATAATTATATTCTATTCCTCGGTCGCCTAATTTCAAGCAGTTCCAATTTACATGATTTTAGCATCTCGGTAACTGAGTCACATCTCGGTAACTTAGTGCACATTCTCTAAAGGTTGTCACATATAATCTTTGTCGCCCTGTGTGCAGTATATACAATCAGCGATAGCTATTTGTTATGTTCTGGTACCCGAGCGACAGCCCTCTTTAGTGTTAATATGAACTACTTCATGATGTCGCTCTCATTTAACACACAATACTGACACAAACTGCCGTCATTTAAACGTGCGGGGGGGGGGGGGGGGTGCATTAAAACGGAACTTGCCCCTTCTCGAGTCACACCAGCACCTACCCCTCAAGACTTTTCTTGCTGCTTGCACCTTGCTGACACCCATAACTGCAATCCAAGCACGATTATCTCAAATTTGGTAGTTTTATGCTGCTTTGCATTTTTAGTAGATGTCATTAGTTCATGTTCATGTTCATTAGTTCATGCATTTTTAGTAGATGATTTTAGTTCATGCCGAAGCAGCAATTTAAACATCGGCTCTGCAGTAATTATATGCCAGAGTGGCAGAAATCAGCGATTCTCACACATATCCTTGTGCTCACTGTTACTATCGTTGCACAGCAGAAAAAAAATATCCTAAGGAAAAGGGCAGGCGTGCCCTTTTGTTTAGGATTGTTGTGAAAGCTAATGTCCTTTTCACGGGCAGACAAAAACACCGAGGCACAAATCATAACCTCATCATTGCGCAGCACTCGATCGCCACAGGGACGCTGTGTGGTGGGTTTGCCAGTCCATGTGTTTTCAGGACCAGAGCCGCGACGGTGATGCAATCTACAATGATGACATTGGCTGCGCACATTCAACAAGGTGGCCTGCATCGTACACCACGGCAATCGTCCATGAGAGACTGCGACGTTTCGCTTGCTGTACCTACATGCTTGTAAATGCTAGAGAAAGGCACGCTGATTGAAATTTCTAAACACCAAAACTAATTAGTATCGCACGGCAGAAACTGCAGATGACGAGCGTGAACACTTGCTCATAACTTCACTTTCTGACCAGCAATGCAGTCGGCGGCATCGGCATGCTTATTGGCCATCTAGGAGGTTTCTTGGCGCTGTTGATTGGGCTGCAACTAAACAAATTCATAATAGCACTCGAAAACATTCAATGTGGGCATTAGTTGACCCTCGCGAGGCTGTTGGTTCGTTCGACAGAGTTCCCGTCCGAAGCAGACGATCCGCCCACAGAATTAGCGGCTGCCGCAGCTCGGTTGAAAGCAAAGTCCACAAAATGACATCACACGCGAGAGGGTGCCACTCCAAGATTTCAAGGCCAATAGTCAACGTCGAGCATTGCACATATCAGGAAATTTAACTTTCGTAATTGAAAATTTCAAACAGGCATTTTTCTGATCACAAGATGGACATTTCATGTGGCTGTTCTAAAGGCTGGCGAATGCTTCAAAGAAGGTGAAGGAGGGCATGCCAATGCCGCTTGGAAACAGTGGTCTAGAGACAGCTGCTAACTATAATAAAATTCAACACCTAAACATCGCTTAGACTACTTCAGAAAAGGATTCTGCATAAATTTTTTTTTATAATCTTGCATTTGAAATGTTCTCAGAATCAAGAAAATCAGCATGAGCATTACCACTGTTAACCTATCTAATTATCAGCACCAATTTTTGTGGCCAGTGTTTAGTGAAAAAAATCTTGCTCTAATGTAATGTTTTTATATTAGTTTTATTTGAAGCCTTCACTTTTGAAGCCTTCACTTTTAAAGTAGCCTTTTCTTCTTAGCAATAGCTTTGCATGAAAATTCATTTTATGTGAACTCTTGTAGATCTTTGAAAGCAATAGAAAGTAGCATAGCAAGCTACTTTTGTTTCTTATGGGAAACCTGCATAGTATTACTCTTAGTGTCTTGCTTTTTAAGGAAGCTCTGATTTTCAGCCTTGTTTAAAAAAAAAAAAAAATGCCGCCTTGGTTCTAATGTGACCGGACATATTGAACCCAACCAGTCAACTAGGATTAATGTGTAGATATTGTGCTTGTGAGCAGTATGGTATGGCTTCTGAGTTGATGAGTGGTCACACCTTGTTAGTTTCCTCTAGAAATAGCAACATTTGCTTCCTTTACAGCATGAAGTGCTGGCAGCCTCGGAAAAGGCAGTGCTGCGTTTGGAGGACTTTGTGGGCTGCATCACAGATGAAGTGGAGTGGAGCCACGGCCTGCTGGCAGGTCCACCATCTGAAGGTGCATCATCCCCAGGTGTGGTGGTTCTGTCGTATCCACGCTACTGCCGTTACCGTGCCCTTCTCAAGCGCCTTGAAGGCCACTGGCCTCCTGAGGGCAGCCTTGCCTTGCTCCTTGGGGCTGACCAGTTGCCGTCACGGAGCGGTGGGAGCTGCCGCCTGCTGTTCTGCCGTGACACCTTCGATCATGAGGCACTTGCACACAATGACCTCATCTGTGATCATTTGGGTGGGTACAGCTGTTTCAGGAAAAGGTGCATGCAGCTAGAATGTTAAAAGTGACGGTATGCAATCGAACATGTCAGCTGATGCCAACTATGACAGTGATTTACCCAATTTTTTTACCCTGATACATTACCACTGTGCAGTAGCTGTCCCCTGTCCAGGAAAAAGGGATTTTGTTAATGCTAATTGGCAGACTAAACATGCATTAATATAGGTAGGTACCGAAGCAGCTTGTAGCATAAAGAATGTTTGTTCAAGTTATATATGAAGAAAAGCTTACTGTGTTAAGTTTATTAGTGTCCTGGTGCAGTGAAATGAAATCTTGAAAGTGAGGTATAGTTGAAGACGGCATCAACAAATATTACATGCAGTATCGTATACACTCTTCTAAAGGCCGCACTTTTTCAGTGATTTTGATGGAGTGCGGTCCTTCAACGGAAGTGTGAAATTTCTGTACAATTTTCGATTGAGATAAGGAAGAATGTATTTAAACCTAGTTAAGCATTTTTTTCTTTTACATCACAAATGGTTGTGCTATGGGCAGTTGTCAAAATCAGTAGTGGCACAAAGGGTCAATGTTGCTGGGGAGAAAAGCATCAAGTTGTCCCAGGTGGTACCACACAGCCAAAGTTCTCAGGTAGTACTGAAGCCGCTTATGGTATGTAGTTGGATATGCTCTCTACGGGAGCCGAGTTGTGTCGCCATTATGTTCAATGGCTGCACAGTGAAGCCACTTATTGTGCACAGGGTATAAACACAGCGTGATGTTCCGGCGTGCACGACATGCTGCAGACCATTACAAGCGCTCAACAAGATTGCACACTTACGGTGAAGCTGAGTATGGCTACAGATTCTTGCTCATTGCGTCCGCGGGCAAAATTACGTGTACAACAACAGTTCCACAGTGTTTGGCCGAATCATGGTGCAGTGCCCGGCATGGAGCAGGCTCGTATGCCCAACAAAATGTGCATTGAATGAACCAAGTGAGACTGGAGGTGAATTAAAGGCCCATAAAATGTACTTGATGTTTCGGAGCTAATTCATACTGAAATAATAAGCGACTAAAATGTGTTACATTAGTTTAACAGTGCCCTAAATGAACCAATGGTGTAATGCGTTTTGTGAAGCTGTATATGGCTAGGCTTTGACCAAAAGTGCATCCATCTATATAGGGTGTATATAAAGTACGGTTCCTACCACACGGTACCTTGCAACAAAAAGTAGTGCGCATGCTCATGACCTTTAATCGTGTAGCCGGAAGGCACGAACTATTTGTCTATGAGGGCATTTGAAAGAAACTTCACGCCGATATGGTCAGCAATCAGGGTGGTATATTTCAACAGCACATAAGCCGGCTGCTCGGTGACGTTCACCAAAAGACTACTGCTGCATACAGTTATACTGGTGACCACTGACAGAGTAAGATTTGTCATTAATAATTCGTCACAGCTGCATCTCTTTTAGAAAAAACCTTAACGATGGAACTGATGTAAACAGATCAGTGCAGGAGCTGTGTGGGTCTGTCGGTAAAGTTGGCTTTGCCAGAGTGAAATTGAACATTTGACTTCATTTTGCACCACGTAACGGCGCTCGTTGAATAGCGGCACAAGCACAAGTTATACGCAACTCAGCATCCTGCACTAGCATTTACAGGGACACCAAAGCCGTAGGACAGCTATTGCCATCTGGGGGCTCCTGCAAAATGCACCGTATGCGAGATAAGATGACGCTGCTCTTTGCTGGCGTTTTTTTCTTTTTTAAAAAAATTGGACTGCCAAGTTGAGGAGAGCAGTCCTTACACTAATGCAGCCCTTAATTGAGTGTATATGGTATACACATAGGGGCAGCTTGTGAACAGTGTGAGAATACTGGCATGAATAAGGAATATGCAATGAAAGCTAAATGTACACGAAAATCAGAATATACATACAAGAAAAAAAAACTAAGCACAGAAATGCGAATGAGAAGCAACTTTTAGTACCGCAATGTCAGCTGAAACAAACTTCTAGGCCACATAAAAGACTGGTTTACTTATTTATTTATTTATTTATTTATTAGAATACCCTCAGGGCCCGTAGGGCATTACAGAGGGGGTGGGTACAACATATATAAAACACAAGAAAAAAGACAAAATAAAGAAACAAGTATCAGATGCGCAAATCAGGAAGGCAACATAAGTCAACTAAAAATGTATAAGAATTCAAGCACATACAAGACAAAGATAGATAATGGAAACTGCGTATAGTTACAAGCATTGCTGAGAAATTGCAGTCTTGAATAACAAAGGGTCTGTTATTGATACAACGGAAGAGGGAAGGTGGTTCCAATCGGCGGCTCTTTTCGGTAAGAAGGCTGTGATTTGTGGTTGTGATTTGTTTGTTCAGTTGCACCTACCACTCTACGGCAGCTCATAGTGGCGAAGTACCACTTTATGGCATTCTCATTGTGGTGAAGGCTGCGGTGGAGGCGTGCTTGAGGGGCAGAACGAATGTAAACGTTTTCAAGGCTGTTGTTTTCTGGTTGCTCTGGTGGTTTCGTTTTAACATCACTTCACAACTGCTAGTGCTCTAGGACAGATTTTTTTTATGTGAACATCGCGGCATGCTTTTCTGGTTACTTGATGGTGAAGGGAGTGAAGTTCTGGTGAGTTAGGCTGCTTTTTTTCCCCTTGAGCAGCATGCGTGAGGAAACTACGGCACGGCCCTTTCCGGCTGCTTTCTGAAGAAACAGCAAACCTAACCATGGGAAGCCACGTTCTTCGATGGGCATGTATGTTGTAACCCCACGCCTGAAGCAAGACGAGATGATCATGTGCCTCAAGAGTATATTTTATTTGCAGTTGGAACTGGCTTAGGAAAACATTGTTGATTGATTTTGTGAAGAGAACATGCTGTTGATGGAGTGCCCTCTGGCTTAATGTCGGTTAATATAGGCAGCCATAGTAACTTCTGTGGTGAACAGATTTACTCTTCTTTAAACGAAATGAAAAAGAGCAAGGACTGGACAATTTCATGATGTTTGCTAAGTGGTTCTTTTCATGCTCGACCTCGAAGCGAGAACCTTTGTAGCTGCAGACTGAGGGTGCTTCACCATTTTGGTGACTTTCTCAGGGGCGGCGCCAGGATGTTTTTACTGGGGGGGCAACCACGAAAAGTGAGTTCCTCCGGGGGGGCAAGCTAGCTCTGCTCCTACTAGGTTTTCAATATATGCTTCCGGGCACTTGGGTGGGCATAGGGGGGGCAGGCGAGAATTTTGGAAGGGGCTCCAGCCCACCCTTGCCCCCCCTGGCGCCGCCCCTGGACTTCCTCAATGTGCAGGGTTTCCATTGAGAAATTCAATAGTATTGTTTTAAGCTATAAATACAGTAACATTGAATATGCTTTCTCACAAGTTGTTTGGCTAGTGACATAAAAAAAATAAGGACGTGGATCATTGTTGGCTATATTGACATGTGCACAGTGAAATACATAGTCATATATATGATAAGAGCTGTGCTCAGGTACTGAATTCTTTTCTACATTCTCATTGCAACTTAAACATTCTTGGTGTCGGTCTCTCCCTTCCTTCATTTGTTTATTGTGTACGCTTAATTTAGTGAGAATGTCTGACAGTGCCATATCGCAGCTGGTGTGCTTATACTTGAGTGAGTTCTTGGCATGATAAACAATAAATTTACAATTATGCTTGCTCATTATTGATGGTTGTAAAAAATCTGTTCATGCCACTTAAAAGAGATAATTGTGGAAAGCGAGATAGTGTAAGAATTAAAGCTTGGGTGAGTTGGTAATGATTCATTAAGAAGATACAGTTAAACTTGGATACAACAAAATTGATAAATTCCCAGAAAAATTTTTTATAAAGAGAATTTCGTTATATGGATGTTTGGTACGGATACTTGGAAAACCAATGCACAAAGTAAACAAAAGGGAGATTGAAGGCAGAGCTAAGCCAAATCACTTATTTAGTGGTAAAAAGTGCGTTACTGTTGCGGTAGCAATTACTCTCGGTGGGTTTGCGCCATTGCCGCCAAATTCCGTAACAAGTTGAAATTGATAACATGCTCCCACGCATCGTAACTTCGACGAGCGAGTAAAAGCATGCGAGCGATGCTGAAGCAAAAATCAAATGAGTCGGCTCATCTCTATCGCCTGGAAGGCACATAAGATTACATCCCCCATGTGTTAGAACTGACGTCGAATGCTCAAACGGAGAGGAAACCACCCGTCCTGAACGAGCATGAAAAACGTAAGAGGGGGGAATCGCTCGAGTAGCAACAATGAACTTTGAGTATAAGGACATTCGCAATCACTCGCGCTTGCTATCTTGGCAAGTATCAGTGGGCTTCCAGTGCGAAGGGACTGCATGAAAAAGAGCACTTCTCGCTGGAGTCACTGTATTTGCTCACATCAACATTTTGTAGGAGTTCCGCAATATCAGATTAAAAAAAGTTGGCTGACCGCCTTACTTCATACAACATTATAATTTTTCGCTATCGTGTTTGTTGCATTGCATTCAACGGGCCATCATGTTGTTGCCAGAACTAATCGGCTAATCGTGAAAGCTACGAGCCTGCGGACTCGCAGAATGCCACAAGACGAAAGCGCGTGACGAGTCGACTTCTGAAGATTCGTCGTCACCGTGGTCTCTGAGAGTTTTCATCAGTACCTATTCTGATGCCCCTCGGTGGTGACGACACAATTGTCCGCATTTAAAAAAAAAAAAGCCACAAAATAGCAAAGCTGAAAGTCGTTGGGGGCGACACCATGCGTGCACAATGAAACCATGGACGCGCACATGGCGCCGAAAACGAAAAGCGAACGACACAGACACAGATACCGTAGGAAACTATTTGGTAAAGCACCCTCCATGTGCAGCGTTGCCGCACATATGTAGAGCTAACTAAGAGCTTGGCACTACAACTGTAAAAGTAGTTTTCTTTTTAATTTGTAGGAAAAAGGGGCACATCCGCGCCTGCGGCGGCAAGAATGGCAGCAATCCTGGCTCATGGGGCGCAGCTCTGCCTTGCACTCACCCATGCGCAATCACGAGCGCTCACTCTCTCCTGCTGCGCTGTGCGCGCCGCCACCCCTTTTCGCTTTGTCGGAGGCGAGGCATTAGCGGAAGATGCATGCTCTTACCAAAATCCGGGGCAAAGCTTCTAGATTGTCCGTGGGGAAAATTCGTTATATCAAGGTTGTCTTCCTCTGTTACTTTGTTACATAGAGGTCACAGATACGTGTGCTTTTATGGAGCAATGGTGGGGAATGGAGAAACTTCGTTATATCGAGGAATTCGTTATATGGAGGTTCGTTATAAGCAGGTTTAACTGTAGAACAGTGTATACATGCTGCTGGCCTCCACAAGTTATGTACCGTTTCCTAATTGTGTGTGTGCCGTTAACAATGTTCTGGAAGATGGTGCGTTTGAATACTGGCTGCTAAGAATCTTTGTGCTTGAAATTTAATACTGTTATTGGGCACTCTTAAGTACCTATATTGGTTTGCTGTCGTTTTTACAGCATTGCCACACACTCCTCTTGGGAAAGGTCTCTAATAACTTGGTGAAGGAGAAATGGATGACTGAATGCATGTTATGCACAGCCTTCAAAAATTTTAAAACTTATATTGTGTTCAGTAACTGGAATTAAGAGTAGTGAGTCACTGCATATAATATCTGTAGTAGCGTGATTGGCTGGATAGTTAATAAAAATAGTTAATTCTAAATGCAGTTGAACCTTATTATGTAGAGCATTACAATGTTGTTTGACACAATATTAATCGTAAAATATATTCATTGCATGCCAATACTCACTAGAAAGAAGCTAAAGCTACTTCATTGTATAAATAAAAATTTTGAGTTGTGACTTTATTGCGGTCTACTGTAGTGGTAGTCAGAAGCATTACACGTCAGTTGTTATACCTTCCTTTTAACAACCCTTTCCCCCACATCAGTTAAAAGCTTGCTATCTCTTCAGAAAATTGTGAAGATGATGGACGCTCTTCTGTTTACAAGTGCATTTTCAAGCAGGGGAGTAGCCAGATGGGTATTTTGCCGTCAGAACGTCCCTAGGAAATTTTTTGAACACTGCATACCGCCTATCTTACCCTTCTTTTTTTTTATTGTATTCTTGCTTGGATATTACAGTGGACAAAACAACTTACCTTTTGCCTATTTTAGAAAATAAAAATGAGTAAGCTATCATATTCACACAGGCTCTCCTAATTTTGCTTGCCGGTGACATATAACACTACTACAAAAAGTTTTCACCTGTGGGTTGGAAAGTGCATTGTTCAGTTGAAAAGTGGAGGGGTGACTTAGTGTGGCCGCCTTCACAAAATAATGTAACTGTAACCTAAATGTTCCATATGAGACATAAATTCTGTGACATGGCTTTGCAGCTCCAGTGGAAAGGGGCCGTCAACGAAAGCGCATCCGCAAGGCTAATTCTGGATCCGAATCCTCTGAAGAAGAAAGCTCGGAGGTGACAGCGGCTTCTAGCACACCATCAAAACCTTCAGTACATCATAGCAAAACAGCCCTAGACAAAACAGCAGATGTCAAGTTAGAGAAAGTGAAGTCAGAAAAAATGTCACATGACAGTGTTCCAGAGGGCACCCCTAAAGAAAAAACTGCACAGGACAAAGTGCCTCTGGACACATTGCCTCACGGTAGGACGTCACAAGACTTGTTGCCTGACACAGTGTCACAAGAGAGGAAGCCACATGACAAAATGCTTTTGGACAAAACACGAAACGGTGCCGACGAGTTTCTACGGCGCCTCTTCCAGTTCATGAAGGAACGCAACACCCCCATTCAACGTGTGCCTCATCTTGGGTTCAAACAAAGTAAGCCTTCTTCTGAAGTAAAATTACAAGTTTGGCTAGTTGGTAGATGTTCATTGTGAAATAACCCACAGTGCTATAGCCTTAGACTATGGACAGAAAAAAGAAATAGACACAGTGCTGATACTCACAAAAATAATTTATGACCAAGCAAATGCAAAGTGGGAACCGTAATGCCTATGTGCAGAACGATTGTGAGATCAAAAGCTGATTCAGCAGAGTGTGATGGTGTATACACTTGGCTTTGCTGTTGTTTTGCAGCTGAGTTGACCGCATTTTTGCATGACACATTATGGAACATGAGAAATCTATGTAGTTGCACTGCACTAGCTCAGGTTGCTACATCTTTGAGGGGTGAAGCATGAGCGAAACTGTCTTATACAACCTGCAAAGCTGTAATGATGTCATAAACCAAGACCTATCATGCCTCAGCCAGTTTTAACTATAAAGGCACCACCTGAGCGCTTTGCGCCTCACCCTAATATTCAGGCCAGAGAAAACCGCAAACATTGCAGTAGGATCCAGCTACTGCACAGAAGAAAACAAATTCTGCAGAAGCAAGACTTGTGGACAGTTAGCTAACACTTCCTGATCTGTAGCCTATACTTCCCATCATTCCCATCAACATGCCAGATAGTCCTCTTGTTTTTAGTATAAAACTGTATGTTGCAAAACAGACAATTAAATTGTGAAAATCATGGGAAAATACAATTTTTTCATTGTAATAAAAATGTGAATTAAGGAAGAAGTAAACAATAGTGAATAAAAAGACACCTTGCTACAGACACAAGCTGAGCCCACAGCTTCTGAACTACATATTTCTCATTTGTTGTGCAGCAGCATTTGCCGTTGTTTTATACAATTTTTAAGTATTCATATTTGTGCACTAGGTCTTCCCACCAAAAATATCAGTGCTAAGCTTTGTCGACGAGATAGCACCGAAAGGTAATCGTTCTTCGGTGCTGTCTAGCCGAATATATTGGTTTATAAGTGTGTCGTTGTATGCTGAGTGACCAAAATGGTGCCAGTAAATGCATCTCTGTTCTGTGCAAAAAAACACTAAATTGAACTGTGAAGCCTACGCATTATGTCATCCAACAGAATGTTTTTAAGCATAGATAAATATTATAATAGAAGACCAATGTGTATGCGTGTGAGTGGGGAACCTTAATGTAGTGGAGCCTGAAAAAAAAAAAAAAAAAGATTCATTTAAGTTTATTCAGTCGCTTCGTGCTACAAATGTGTGGATGACAGTTATTTCTTTCAAGAATTCTTAAATGTTAACTAAATGTCAACATTCAAGTATTTATTCAACAAGGACAAGCTCTCTTATTCCTTTGCTCCTGCCATTAAACCAGTCATACTGTTACAGAAATAAATTGTGCTGGGAGAAAAGATTTATAAGTGTGGTAAGATAGTACTGCAGTGGATTGCAACACTATGGTGTAGGGGTCTCAAACATGTGGCCTGCGGACCTACATGTCTGTCTTCACGCATTTTTTTTCTATGTTTTCAAAAAGTGTGTTCGTGAGGTGCACAGCCATGGCTTGTCTAAAGCATTGTTTTCAGTAGGCACCCCATGTGATCACCATGTGTTGAAGCTTAGCTGGGAAACAAAAACAATATTTGAGAATCAGTATCCAGATTTTAGTCAATGAGGAGATATGTATAGACATGTTGAAATCCGGGTGCGAAATCTCCTTCGTAAAGGACCTCTGTATGAGATATACTAAGAAAGGTTGTCTTTCAAGTGGTAGTGGGCTGACAATTTGTAGCAACTACCCCACACAGCCCTTGTGGTACTAAACTGCGTAACTGTGACCTGAGGTGAGCTTGAGACCCTTGCTATGGTGAATCTACCAAAGAACATCTAATGGTACAGTCAAACTGCCAATGACATAAAAATACGTTTGTTATATCCTATATTAGCTTTATTTAGTTTTTATATTCTCCCTGGGGGCATTAGAGTAATGGCTACAATGATACAATACTGTCCGCAATTACTCGGAGAGCACTTCACATCAAAGTGGTGCAGATCTAACCACACTATTCATGGAGCAGAATATCCATTATCCACATTAAAACCATTTAATGTGTTGCTTGTTACTAGTCATATTGTTATAAGATTGTGTGTAGCGTGTAATGGCAGATATTAATAAAGTGTGCATGTGTGTGTGTGTGCGTATACAGTGAATATGTCGATAGGCAGAGCTTTGAATGTCTCAGCTAAATTTTGTAGCCGTGCTAGGTGGATGAATCTTGCAAGGGAAACATGAAGTTGATAACGCTCTCTCTTCACTTGGGGCAGATTAACTCATCAGCTGACAGCAGCTGTTCCCTGAAGTCATCTGACAGATTCCCATAGAGAGGTGCCACTGACCAGTAGAGATTTATTGTCTAGGCGGTATGACTGAATCTGTGTTTTATCTTATAGTTATAAAAATTATGAAAAAAAATGGCATCTTTAAAACCTACAGGCATTGTCACAAATGCTGACCAAATTTCTGGTGTCTTGGATTAATATTTTATATTGATACCTTATATCAGTGGCATTTTATATCGAGATAAGCTAGCTTTGAGCTCAAACAAAAAAAAAAGCACATTAAAGAAGCACACAAGAAGTAGAGTGCTGTGAATTATTTAAGTAGATGTTCTCGAATATTTTGAGCACAATGTTGACAAATTTACTATAAATATATAACTATTAAAAAGTCAGTAATGCCTACAAATAAATAATTATTGAGATAAAAAGATACTGTATGCTTCTTTGAGTGGCTGTTATGTTGTGGTCTAAAAAGTATTATTAAAAAAAAAAAACACCTTCATGTAAACGGGTTGGCAAACATTTGCATGTACGTAATTAGTTGAGTATGAAAATTTATTTGCATTTAATATCCTTGTAGTAAATTTTAGGCAGCTCTCTATTGCCATTTTTAAACCAAAACATGTCTCCCTGCATGCAGCCTGATGTGTGCAATATTCTATATTTCTTGAGTCATTCTGCTGCAATTGCAAGCTGATAACTAGTATAACTAGTGCTTTTCTTTGCCAGTGTACATATGAAAGTCTTTAGAGCATGAAAAATTGTACGTGATTTTGTTTATAACTTGGCATGTAAAATCCTGGCTGCAGCGGCCGCATTTCGGTGGCAGCAAGATGCGGAAAGTTTGTAGGCTTAGAGTTAAGTGCATGTTAAAAAACTCCAGGTGGTCATATGATCCAGGAAAAGAAACCACAACAACAATTATTATTATTATTATTATTATTATTATTATTATTATTATTATTATTATTACTACTACTACTACTACTATTATTAGGAATTTAGTTTGTTGTACATCACAACTTTTATAAGTTTCGGAAGCATGGGTCACTCAGTTACAGCCTTGTAATTTGTAAGTTAGCTAGACTTCACACTTGTGTGTTATAAAGTTTTAAACATTACTATTATTAGAATATAAGTAGGGCTTCATGTTTTTGGAGTTTTAATTTTCTTGAAGTTAAGAGGGCCTTTTGGTGTGCATTTTTTTCTAGAAACTTGAACGTTTATTGAAGTTAATTTCTTGTAAACCTATAATATTTCGTAATTTGGCATTCAATTTTGCATATAAGCTGTTGCAATGTGTTCTTATTCATTTTATTTCCAATGAAAACACATTCCATTATTGCTGGTGATCCTGTTTCTCCCTCTTTTCATTTTTGTCTCAGTTCCTATTTATCTAATCCATTATTAAGGCTGTTGATGTGTTATGTTGTAAACTCACCTATAAGTGTACTGTTTATTATTTCTGTTTTTGGGAGGGCGCAGGAGCTAGTGAAGTTGCTTCTCAGCCTGTTTCTGTCAGCCTCCTCATTATTTTGATGTAAAGTAAATGACCTTATCATTACTATTATTCTCAATACTACGAAATCTTAGATAGAATGATAAATGAACACAAAAACATGTGAACATGCTAAGGCTATTTTAGATGTCGTAAAGGTTTGAATGCACAAACATATAATATACTTGCACAAATACTTGAGTATGAAACCACTACGTTTGTTGATATTACAACTTTTTAAAAGTGCGTTGTAGTAGACGCAAGCATACTTTATGAAGTTGCCGCTGATGGAGGCATGCAATTTAATGTTGAAAAGTGCCTTCTGAAATCGGAGGTTATCAAAAAAATCCAAATTGTGAAAAGTTTTACCGGTAAGTGTTTATCAAAAGTGTTTATAGAAAGTGTTTATAGTTTTTTTTATTTTTGTGAAAACACTGAGCTGTAGATATAAGTTATATAGCTTCAAAGTAGTAGAGTATGGTGTCATAACTGCTTTTGGTAGCGGCAGCCAAAATGTTTTATTTGCAACATTTCTACTGATTCCAAAAGTCGACTTGCAAAATGAGAGATCCCAAGATACTGCCATAAAAAAAAAAAGTTGGAATCATAGTTGAAATCATAGTGAAATCAAGAAGAGGAAATGGACATGGGCCGGGCATGTAGCACGTAGACAGGATAACCGCTGGTCATTAAGGGTAACTAACTGGATTCCTAGAGAAGGCAAGCGGGTTAGGGGGAGACAGAAGGTTAGGTGGGCTTATGAGATCAAGAAGTTTGCGGGTATAAATTGGCAGCAGCAAGCACAGGACCGAGTTGACTGCAGAACATGGGAGAGACCTTTGTCCTGCAGTGGACGTAGTCAGGCTGATGATGATGATGATGACTGCCATATTTTACTAAGTAGCATGTGCAGGCCCGTAGCCAGGAATGGGGGGGGGGGAGAGGGGGGTCTACTTGTTGTTGGCCTTAAAAAACACCAATTTTTCATTAATATGCTCGGTTTAAAACACAGACTTCTTAAGCTGTTGAATGTTAAACTAGGTTTAATGTTAAAGAAAGTGCTGTGCCATACATTTTTAGAAATTTATGATAAATTGTCTCTCTATTATTTTTAGGCTTGAACTGTCATTGTTATAAGGCCTTTTAGTGTTCTCCTATAAATTGGAATTAATAAAAGCAATG